ACTCGGGTCGGCCATGTTGGCCGCGTGTAAGGCGAACGCCCTACCCGCTGTGCTAAAGCCTGAGTCATGAAAATGGTACTTAGAGATGGAAAAGATGTGTCAGTGTGAACCAGCCATCGCCAGAACAGAATCTCTTTTTCTTGCCATCTGATCAATTAGCTAAGTTTTGTAAAAAAGAATTGCAAGTGTCTACTCCAAGTTTATGTATATGTGTAATGCCTGATTGTTGATATTGTGAGTATTCTAAATTTTGTAGTTTAGAGATCTGACATTGAGAGAGACTAAAATACAACATAGTTTATCTCATTATAAATCACAGCCATCTGGCTTCCTTTTCTTTTGTGAAATATGAAAGGATACATGTTTGGCATTTAAAGTAGGATTCTTACCTTTCTTTATCTTTGTTAGATGTACGCTCTCAATAATAATTGCAGGAGCTGGAGCAATAGTATAGAGGGGAGGGAGTTTGCCTTGCACACTGCCAACCCGGGTTCAATCTTTGGCATCCCATATGGTCCCCCAAGCACCGCCAGGAGTAATTCTTCAGTGCAAAGTCAGGAGTAACCCCTGAGCATCACTGGATGTGACCCCAAAAGCAATAATAATAATAATAATTGCAATAAGCTTGAACCCAGATTTTGAACTCAAGCTGGCTGTGTACTTCTGCAGCCCCTGGTGGTGTGCTTCTATGCTGGGCTTCAAAACACACACACACACAGCGAAACATTCGATTATCTGGGCTTAATAGCATCAACAGGCTAAGAAATAAATGGTGCACCTGAAAAAGTCGAGAAGAAAGAAATTTAGTGGTGAGGTTTAGGGGAATTGAACAGGGAGAGAGAACACAGAGTTGAGGAGACAAGGGTGTGTGTAGAAGAACTGCACATGGAGAGCTTAGGAGCCTGCTCTGTGTAACCAGTTTATCTAGTTAAACTCCCACTCCCTCTTGGGTAGCTATGTGACTCTGGGCATGGGACCCACCCCCGCCACCCTCTTTGCCTCAGATTTCTCATCTGTAAAGCAGAGCCCATAATGGTACTGCTAAAAGGGTTATACATTTCGTTGGCAACTTCAGACAAAACTTTTGTTGTATGCATTTAAGACACACCCACAACTACATTATATATTTTAATTTGGATACATAGGTGTAACATACAAAGAGTAAAATAGAAAAGCAAACACAAAATTTAAAATATACGTATTTAATTAGAATCGAATATAAAATAAAGTTCATGAGGGTTCATAAATATAATATAAAATATACGTATTTAATTAGAATCGAATATAAAATAAAGTTCATGAGGGTCAGCTAGGATTTCTTTCTCACCATCACAGTCACAAATCACAAATCATCCTGTTAATCGTCGATTGCCTTGAGCAGGCCCCAGTAACGTCTCCTTCATCCTAGCCCTGAGATTATATTCAAGGCTCTTTAGGAGAATGAGACCCATCATTGTTACTGGTATTTGGCATATTGGGTACGCCACGGGGTGTTTGCCCGACTCTGCCGTGTGGGCAGGTTACATTCGGTAGCCTGCCAGTTTGTCCAAAGTAGGAGTGAGATAATAAGATGTCATAATAAGATGTCTGATTTTCTCACCATAGGAGCTTAGATATGTTCTGGCCAGCAAGGTAGCTACTGGCTGTTGGCTGGGCCATGGAGCCCTGGAAGTGTGACCATCTGAACTAAGATGTGCTAAGTGAACAAATGGAAGATACAAAAAGTAATAGCATTTTGTTACATTTTGTTACATATATATCAGATCATGTGCCTGTACCTTTTTGGTTGTATTGGGATTAATGAAATATGATTAAAATGAATCTCCTTGTTCCTTTTAGTTTTGTATGTGGCTTTCAGGACATTGTAAATGTCATGTGACTTGCTTCTACTTCTCTCTTGACAGTCCCGGCCTAGTGCTTTCTTCGACATGGCAAGACTAGTATAAGAAAACCAAATCCTAAGGGCTGGAGAGATAGTACAGCAGCTAGGGCACTTGTCTGGAATGAGATCAATCCCCAGCATCTCAAATAGCCTCCTGAGTACCGCCTAGGAAAACCAAATTCTAAATCTGATCGGTGTAGGGGGAATTTTGATGTCCATGGGCTAGTCTCATGGGCATGAAAAGCTGTACATAAAGACAAAGATACCTGACAGTTGAGAGAAGTCTATTATCACACACCCTTCTCCTTTCATGACCATGGTGTCTTGTGCTATGAATTGATATTTTAAAGTGAATTCTATAAATATCCCATATGCAACATTATTATGATGCTACTAAAAGTTCAGATATTGAAGCCAGAGAGCTCATACCGTGGGTACAAAACTTGCCTTGCATATGCCTGACCCACATTTAATCCCTGGTGCCATATATTCTTTCTTGAGCATGGCTAGGAGTGATCCCTGAGTGCAGAGCCAGTGTAAGCCCTGGCCACAGCTGGGTGTGTCCCAACAAGAACTCCTCCACTATAAAAAAAATCAGAGAGGGGGGTTGGAGCGATAGCACAGCAGGTAGGGTGTTTGCCTTGCACGCGGCCAAACAGGGTTCGATTCCCAGCACCCCATATGGTCCCCCGAGCATCGCCAGAAGTAATTCCTGAGTGCAGAGCCAGGAGTAACCCCTGAGCATCTCCAGGTGTAACCCAAACAGCAAAAATAAAATAAAATAAAATAAATCAGAGAGTATCAGTGTAGACATTGAGTGTATTTCACAACTTGTTGAACTATTTTTATGGTCTTTTGAAAATATTTGTAAACACAATAAAAAATACTATAAACATCAAAATGTGACAGTGATCCTGGCCTTAAATTCTGGGGATCAATCCCACATTCAGTTTTGATATGTAAATTTCATAGTAAATTTTTTTTGGGGGGTGGCCACATTCAGCACGCTCAGGCATTATTCCTGACTCTACTCTCAGAATTTACTCCTGGTGGGCTCAGGGAACAATATAAGATTCCTGGCATCAAACCCAGGGAGCCCACATATAAGGCAAGCACCACACCCACTGTACTGTCTCTCTGTTGCCTACCATAGTAAATTCTTGATGCCCAATATCTAGAACATTTGGGAGCTGGAGTGATAGCACAGCAGGTAGGGCATTTGCCTTGCACACGGCCGACCCAGGTTCGATTCCCAGCATCCCATATGGTCCCCTGAGCATCGCCAGGAGTAATACCTGAGTGCATGAACCAGGGGTAACCCCTCTGCATTGCTGGGTGTGACCCCAAAAGAAAAAAAAACAAAAAAGCAAAACCATAATATCTAGAACATTCTTAGTTGTTTTTTTTTCTTATTGCTTTTTGGGTCACACACGTTAATGCACAGGGGTTATTCCTGGCTCTGCACTCAGAATTACTTCTGGCGGTGCTTAGAGGACCATGTGGGATGCTGGGAATTGAACCCGGGTCGGCCACATGCAAGGCAAATGCCCTACCTGTGCTGTTGCTCCATGGTTATGTGGCATAGAAAATATATTCACTCTCTAAAACCACATTTTAAAAAAAGGATTAGACAGTGAGGGTCTTGCTTCTAAAAGGAAAAGAAATTCTTTTTTTTTTTATTTATTTATTGAATCACTGTGGGAAAGGTTACAAAGCTTTCAGGTTTATGTCTCAGTCATGCAAATATCAAACACATTTCCCTTTACCAATACTTATTTTTTACCATGAAGAACCCCAATAAAACCCCACCCCCCACCCCTCCCTGTCCCTGTGAGGCAGATGAATTCTAGTTAACACTCTATCTGCTTTGATTAGATTCATTGTTTCAATAAAAGATTCACCACTATTATTTAGAGTTTACCCCCCCCCCCCCCAAATCAGACATGCTGAAAAAGCATTGTGAAGTGATTTGCTTTCTACAGCTGGGTTCAAGAATTAAATGTTGGTTTTGGATTTCTGCTATTTTACCTATTGACCCTGGAAGTATTTCTACTGAAAGTCAGATAGTTAAGAAATTGGTTTCTGTGTTCTGGAGTCGTGGCCGTGCTGGAGAGCCGCTCGTGGGGGCAACTGATGGCCTTGGTAGGGCGTGAAGAGCGGAGCGAAACGCCCCCCTTCCCATGAGGTTTTAGTCGCCCCCACACTCCCGGCTCATACCTGCTGTCCACAAGGCTCCCATGTGGCCGCCATCTTTCTTTCCAGAGAGGAGAGGGCGAATGGGGCAACACCCTTTCCCCCCCGGCAGACTTGATGGCCTGGATCAACGCATAGTCCGTTCACTTTTCTGCTCCAAGCTGCTGGGTTCTGCATTAAGTCCTTGTGCTTCTGGGGCCGTGGCTGTGCTGGAGAGCCGCTCGCGGTGGGGCGACTGGTGACCTCGGTAGGGCGTGAAGGACGGACCAAAACGCCCCCCGACCCATGAGGTTTTAGTTGCCCCCACACTCCCGGCTCATACCTGCTGTCCACAAGGCTCCCATGTGGCCGCCATCTTTCTTTCCAGAGGGAGGAGGGCGGAAGGGAGCAACACCCTTTCCCCTCTGGGCAGAAATGATTGCCTGGATTAACGCATAGTCCTTTCACTTTTCTGCTCCAAGCTGCTGGGTTCTGCATTAAGTCCTTGTGCTTCTGGGGCTGTGGCCATGCTGGAGAGCCGCTCGTGGGGGGCAACTGGTGACCTCGGTAGGGCGTGAAGGACGGACCGGAACGCCCCCCTTCCCATGAGGTTTTAGTCGCCCCCACACCCCCGGCTCATACCTGCTGTCCACAAGGCTCCCATGCGGCCGCCATCCTTCTTTCCAGAGAAGAGAGGGCGAATGGGGCAACACCCTCTCCCCTCCGGCAGACTTGATGGCCTGGATTAACGCATAGTCCGTTCACTAGGAAAAGAAATTCTTACACCAAGAATGGCTGGGTGGTGGTAGGTGATCCTGTCCACAGATCCTAGGTGTGTGTTCTGGGAGGTCGTGAGGTGTGACAGTGATCCAACTGTGGTGGGCTCTAAATTTCTTGAGAAGCTGTGATTCAACTTGATTTGGCTTTATTTTCCCTTTTCTTGCAGTGAAATATGAGGAGCTGTATTGCTTTTCATTCAATCCTAAACTGGATAAAGAAGAAAGAGAACAAGGCTGGACACTGATTGAGCTCAGTGAGGAGTACAAGAGAATGGGCCTCCCTAATTCTTACTGGCAGCTCAGTGATGTGAACCGAGACTACAGAGTGAGTAGAAGCAACTGAGAGAAAGCTGGAGCCTTCACTCCCGAGAACTCACAATTTCTCATAGCCGAGAAAGACTTTAGTCTCATTGATTTCCTAAAGTGGAGTGATAGCACAGTGGGTAGGGCGGGTAGACCGTTTGCCTTGCACGTGACCGACCCGGGTTCGATTCCTCCGTCCCTCTCGGCAAACTACCGAAAGTATCCCACCCGCACAGCAGAGCCTGGCAAGCTCCCCGTGACATATTCGATATGCCAAAAGCAGTAACAACAAGTCTCACAGTGGAGCCGTTACTGGTGCCTGCTTGAACAAATCCTGTTCATAGCAAACAGGAGGACAGTGCTACAGTGCTAGTTTTAGTAGCTTTCTGTCCATTCACTGCCATAGATTCCCAATTCTCCCTTGATTATTGCTTGATGTATTTCCTACTTGCATCTAGCATCTGGAAGCACACGTCTCCACAAGCTCCACTTTCTTCCTCTACAGGAAGGACATGGAAACCCAGAGGTCACAGTAGCTGACATTGTGGCTGGCAGTGGGGGGAGAGCCAGCCAAGACTTTGTTCTCTCCCATCAAGTCTTTTTATAGCCCAGGGTGATTAGTGGGGATGTCTCAGAGATTCGATGGCAGTTTGGCACCAGTTCTTTCTGTACTCACTGAACTCTTGATGGTACACAAGGTCACCAAGTGGCTTCCCCAGAGACCTGCGGAGACATGGTCCACACAGGAAGGGACATGGAGAGGAAGGGAAACGGGAGTGGCAGAATAAATCCCAGCCACCAGTGCTACCCAGCATTCCTTCACTTTCCTTTTCCAGTGCTGTTGACGTTCATGAGAGCAGGATGAATTTTTCCCACCTTGGTGAGGAATTTCCCTATCTGGAAACCGGAGTTAATAGGGCGGAGAGTGAAGACTTTTTTCCAGAGCTTCTTTTTAGTGCTTCCCACGCAATGCTTCTTAGAATGCCAGTAAGCCCTAACCCTTGGAGTCTTCTCTTACAGAGGCAGTGCCCCGGGGAGAGCAGCAGCCCTTGTTGTTTGGTCTGATGTTCTGGAGGGGAGGCCTTGGGACTGGTGCATCCCCATCACTTTGTACTGGATTCTAGTTGAGCAGTGCGCCAACCCTCAAGGTCTGTGTTTCTTGCTGTGAAGTGAGATTGACTTTCCCAACGCTCCTAGAGGGCGGAGGCTGGGGGATGGGCATCTTCTCTGCTCTCATGCAGAAAGAGGAACCTGCAGGGAAAGAGTGCTCAGGGGCTGGGGACACTGAGACTATCAGGGAGAATGAGTTTGAGGTATTTGTCTTTTCTTCACTTCAAAATAGACGAGGTGCACAGGAGTGCTGCCAGCCAAGCAAGCTGGGCATCTCTGGGCCTTGGCAGGCTGTGAGAGAGCCTGGCAGGAGCTCTAGAATCCTTAGCTTCCTCCCTGCTATTTGAAGTGTTTGAATGGCTGGGTCTGGAGTGATAGCACAGCAGGTGGGGTGTTTGCCTTGCATGCAGCCGACCCGGGTTGGATTCCCAACATCTCATATGGTTCCCTGAGCACTGCCAGGAGTAATTCCTGAATGCAGAGCCAGGAGTACCCCCTGATCATTTCCATTGTGACCCAAAAAGCAACAAATTAATTAAAAATAAAAATAAAGCGGTTGAATGGAGTTGAGCTTGTTGAGAACTCATATCCATGACTTCATCTTACTCCATTTGCTTATAAATAACTGCAGTTCCCTCATGTTGTAATGGGGAAGAAAGTAGGTAATCTCCAACTTGCTGAAACTCCACCCGTTTCCTTTTTGAAACTGTTGTTTTAAGAAAATGTTCGAAGTCTGCTGTAATGTCTGCAGGGCTCGCACACCTCAGACAAGCGCGTGTGGTCTGTGCAGCAATGTTCTCTGCAACCGTCTCATGCAGACTCCAGATTTGCATGGACAAGGAGAGGGATTGTCTGGGGACAGTCATTCTGGTACAGGCTGTGCCCTGGGCTCCTGGAATGGGATTTTCCCCCAGTGTGTTAGTGCCAGAGTTAGTGTTAGTGACCCCGTCTTTGGTTTTTGGAAATATTTCCCAGAATGTCTTTGTCACTATGAGGAAACTATGCTTTGGATCCAGGAGTATGTCTTCATGCATCTTTTTTGTCCGTTTGTTTCTGGGCTACACCTGGAAGTACTCAGGACTTACTCCTGGCTGTGCACTCAGAAATTATTCCTGATGGCCCTGGGGGAACATATGTGATGCTGGGGTTCAAACCTGGGTCAACTATGTGAAAGGCAAGCGCCCTGTCCACTGTACTCCAGCCTCATGCCTCTTTTTACCTCTTAAAATTAAAGGAAAGTTGGTCATAGATCTGGTGATTAAAAATGGCAGGGCGAAGCATTGTTAGAGAACAACTGGTCTTTGCTCTTGAGGTTTGGCTCCCACATGTGTAGGTTCACTTCCCTTCAGTTCCATCTTCCAGAGGGGTCAGCCTGAAGGTCGGAGAGATAGAACAGGTATCTGGAAGGTAAGGTACTGGTCTTGCTTGTGGAAGTTTCTGGTTTCATCCTGGAACCACATTTGGGCCCCTAAGCAAGACCACGGGTCCCTCCTGAGCACAGAGTCAGGGATTGAACTTCTCAGCACTGCTGGGCATAAGCCCCAAAGCAAAACAGACAAGCCTAGACCAGTCAGGGTGGGTCGAGATGAGCCTGGGCATGCTGCATTTCCCCTGACACTGACCTTGAGTTCTCTTGAAATGCCTAGGAAGATGCTCATCGTCCAGTTGGTTTGGCGAAGCCCAATTCGCATTTGAGTCTTCCCATTGCCAAAAGTTTGACTGATGCTACAACAGATTCGGTGCCAACCAACTTATCAACTTGTTGCCAGTGCCACCATTACCATTTCTGGCACATGTTCTAGTGCTTCAATGTGGGTGTTCTCAGATTTGATTCATATCGCTCCCAGGGGTAGTGTTTGTTTGATACAGGTTTGAGAGAACAAAAAGCTAAAGTACTCGGTAAAGTTTGGCTTCTCCCAGGTCGTGAATTTGGCAAATCAGAGCTAGGTTCTGAGCTGCTGCTTTCTGACTAAACCACAAGGCCAGGGCAAGGCATTTGTGTGTTTCCCACATGAGAACCACTGCCAACAAGCAGCGAAAGAAAAAGAGTAGACCCTCATTTCTTTCCATTTCCAGAATAAGCTTGTGTGGGAAACAAAGTCAGACCTAGAAATCCACACTAGGTGAAAGCTTTGGAGGAGGCGCCCGAAGGAGCTGGAGCTTGTCTTGTCCCTTGAAGAATGGATGAGACGTGGGAATATCTGGAGGAACATTCCCAGGGAGGGCTGGGGGGCAGGCACGCACATCACGTGCCAGGAACCAAAGGGGTACTGGGAGGAGACTCTAGTGCTTGCATCAGAGGACATCATCTCCCAGTGGCAGGCCACCTTTGAACCAAAACAGCAATGTTCTCAGACTTGGATGCAATTTTATTGCTGGTGCTGTTTGATGACAGACTCCTGGGTTGCTTCCTCATTTCACACAAAGAGCCCTTTGAGAGAAGGGACAGTGTCTGAACTCTGGGTGCTGATGGCTGTCTTCTCCTCCAGCACAGTCTCAGAATTGGTAGCTCAGTGTTCCTTCCAAGTAGCCTGTGGGTGCTGTTCTGTCCATGGGTTAAGGAAAGTTATGTATGCAGCTTCTCAGTGGGATAAAAGGGAACTTCTATTAGACCCTCATCAAAGTAATGCCACTCACACATGGCATTACTTTGTGCCTAAAAACCCCTTTGTGTTTTCTGTGACAGGTTTGTGATTCTTACCCCACGGACCTGTACGTTCCCAAATCAGCCACGGCCCACATCATCGTGGGAAGCTCCAAATTCCGGAGTCGACGGCGCTTTCCGGCCCTTTCTTACTACTATAAAGAGAATCATGTAAGTCTCTAAGGCATGCGTGTGCTGTATACTTTGCTTTCATCTCCTCAAACACATGTTTCCTAATAGTCTTCTGTGTGCATTTCAGTTCTTTAAGGTATGTGGACATGTCTGTGCAGGGCAGTAGACACAGGGCGACCATGGATAGACCCTCTTCTTTTTTTTTTTTTTAATTTTTTATTAGTGAAACACCATGAGGTACAGTTGTAGATTTACAAATTTTTATGCTTGGATTTCGGTCATACCATGATCAAATACCCATCCCTCCACCAGTGCCCATTTTCCACCACCATAGATAATATCCCTCCCCCCCATCCCCCCTGCCACTGTGGCAGGGCATTCCCTTTTGTTCTCTCTCCTTTTGGGTGCCGTGGTCAGCAAAAGAGGCATTGAGTGGCAAACATGTTCAGTCCAGTCTACTTTCAACCTGCATCTCCCCTCCTGGGAGGATCCTCCAGACACCCTCCATTTGGTGCTCCCTTCTCTATCTGAACTGTCCTTTCCCCTAGGATACCCGGCTGGCCTCTAAGCTATGGAGTAATCCTCCTGGTATTGATCTCAGCTATTCTTGGGTATTAATCTCATATTTTGTTATTTTATATCCCCCAGATGAATGCAATCTTTCTATGGGATAGACCCTCTTCTAATGTAGAAATGGATTTTGTATTTAGATGATAGTAAACTAGCAGTGTCAATTCAGAAAATACCTTAATCATCCAGATGAGTGCTTGTCTTTTCTAAGCAAGCGCTTGGGAGGGTCCGTGCTTATCTGCAGTGTTGTGTCCTCTGCCTAAGAAATGTTGAGTGGCTTTAGTTGAGTTTTCGATGTCAAGGATCAAACCCAGAACCTCATACTCTGAGGCATGTGCTTCACAGTGAGCTACACCCCTGTCCCTGGAGAGTGGGTTTTAAGAAATATGTATGACTTGTAAAAGCTAAAATTAGATTTTTTTGTAGATATTTTAGAGGCTGTCAGTAACAGTGATTTAATGGGCTAGTTTTACTTTCTCTCACATTAAACCCCCAAAGGTGGTAGGCCAGGCCTCAACTCTGTACTTTTGTGAGTGCTCAGGGAGCTGCATCCCTTCATCTTTCTGGTCTGGCATCTTGGGACTCGTGTGGCCCCCTCATGTGGTTTCAGATACACTTTTACCATTAGCCTCACCTCCACATAGAAGCAGGTGGAGAAGCGGCCTGTGATGAGCTCACATTTTGGAGATGGATTCTCAGAAACGCCATATGACACTTCCACTCACATTGGCCAGAGCTAGGATTGAAAACGAGGTCTTGGGGTCAGACATGCGGTACTGGGGTAAGGTGCTCCCTGCATTCAGCCAGTCTCAATTCCATTCCCAGCACTGGTCCACCAGCACTACGAGGAGTGATCCCTGGCCACGAGCACCACCAGGTATGACCCCAACTTCCTCCCTGACCCCCACACAAAGAATAGAAGACACAGTCATATGTGTAGTCATGTAAATATGTAAAAGTTGAGGCTTCATTTTTTTTTTTTTGGTAGAAGACATAACAAAGGCAAGAATACTTTCTGCCACTTCAAAGATTATATGGCTGATCGAAAAAGTTTGGCTTTAAGGTGGATTCAAAGCCAAAATATGACTAGAAATAATGAAGACAGATGCATATGTATGTTCATATGTGTCCTTAGAGATGAGGGCAGGGTGGAACTTCTACCTGAGTTGGAAAGGATGCTTCCAGAAATACTTGGGGCAATGACAACTTTACCAAAGTAAGCGTATAGCCTCCTCTGTTGCTACTTCAAAGGAAATGGGTGATGTAAGTCCTATTACTTGACAGGATATAAATTATCTTTATTTTTAATTACACTCATGGTTCTATAGTCATTTTGTAGCTCTGAAATGGAGTCTGAAGAAGACAATGGTTTTTATTACTGTTCTGAATGTCTTGATTACAAATACCTATAGAACTGTAACAGACAAACAAAGAAGTGTCTTTAAAAAATAAAAAAAGGTAGGGATGTACAGGTCCATGATTTTGTGGTGAAAATTGGGATGTCAATAACATTTATTTTGTGACACCTGTTGAAATCAGTAGCACTGTAGTACTGTCCTCCCGTTGTCCATCGGTTTGCTCAAGTGGGCTTAATGTCTGCATTGTGAGACTTGTTACTGTTTTTGGCATCTCGAATACGCCATGGGGAAGCTTGCCAGGTTCTGCTGTGCAGGCAGGATACTCTTGGTAGCTTGCCAGGCTCTCTGAGAGGGATGGAGGAATCGAACCCAGAACCCAGGTCGGCCTTGTGCAAGGCCAGTGTGCTATCGGAAAATGAATTTCCCTCATTGCTTCAGAGGTCGAGATGGGCAGAGTATATAAGCAGTAAGCAGATACTGGGCTTCTTTTTCCTCCTGTTCATTATTCTTAAGAAAAGGGATTTTTTGAGGGGTCAGTAATGAACAGTAAAAGGCCTGGGGAGTGTAGTATCTGAGATTCTGATAGAGTTACTGGATTTTGGACCACAGGTCATGTTTCCTCAGCCTGGCAGACTCTCATCTTCCCGTTCCTGCACAAGGGTGCTTATCCTCATTTGTTCTCTGGGTCTGAAAATACACAAATAGCAATCAGCTGTCATTTAAAGAGTCGATTTACTTTTTTAAAAACTTTAATGCAAATAAGACTTAAAGTTTTAGCTTTTCTTCTAAGGCATAAAATACCAATGCGCTTCTCTGAATAGCTCTGAGATCTGGTTACCCAAGGGAAATGCTGAGTGTATGCACATCCATGCCCACTTGCCCTCCCCCGTGAACTGAAATCTCTACAGCAGGTAGGATCATGATTAGATTTGGTTTTATAACATCATTTAGGTTTTCATATTTTATGAAATGCACCGAATGTCACTGGAGAGTTTTATAAAATAGAATAAATATTATTATTAAAGATGGAATTCTGTGGGTAAGTGAATAATGACGGAGTTGGAAAGATATGGATTAGAGCACTTGCTTTGCACTCAGGAGTACCAGGGTTGATTTCTGGCCCCACATCTACCCTGATCATTGCTAGGAACAATTCCTGGGCACTGATGGGTGTGTCTGAAAAACAGCAAAACAAAACAAAACAAAACAAAACAAAACTACTCACGAAATATCCCAGCAGTGCTCCAGAGATAGCACAGGGGGTTAAGGCATTTGCCTTACAAGCAGCCAACCCTGGTTCAATTCCTGGTACCTCATTGTCCTCTGAGCACCACTGAGAGGAATCCTTATCACAGAGTTGGAAATAGGCCCTGAGCTCTGCTGGGTGAGACTGACCCCCTCCCGCTGCCCCCTCCCATACATTTCTATCCTGGTAGAACTTAAACTTGTGACTAAGAAGATCATAATTTTAAAATTCATACATTGTTCTCCATGTAATTTCTGAGAAATTAATTTTCCTGGTTTTGAGGCCACATTTTGTGCTCAGGGCTTACTCCTGGCTCTAAGCTCAGGGATTGCTCATGGAGGGATTTGGGGGGCCATATGTGGTAATGGAGATGGCTGCATGCAAGATCCATGCCTTGGCCATTGCCATCTCCCCCCCCCCCCCATCCTCACATGCCTTTTTATAACCAAAGGGACACTTAAGATGTTGATGATAAAATGACATGGAAAATATTGAGTAGTGGAAATTGGAGATTAAATTAAGAAAAGCCTCAGATGCACATCATTTTATGAGCCTGAGATCCTGTCAAAGTTTCATGGATAGAAATTTTCCTGTTGGAGACACACAAACAAATCTGAGGAACCAAGCAGCTCACTGCAGAGATGCCTCTGGACTTTGTGATAGGCTACTTTCACTGGGCTACTCCAGACAGGAGCAGGTGCTGTACCTCCGCCTGCCCCCTAGGAAAAGCCCAAGTACACAGGAGCAATAACAGCAAACAGCAGGCCTCATGGGGACAGGGGAGGAGCTGGTCCTTCTCATGCCCCCATCCAGATGGGACCCTGAGATGACGCCCACGAACTGCCTCTGGCTGCTATTTAAACTCCTTAACGGTCTTGATCCAGAGACACAAAACTGAATCTCAGAACTGAGCAGTTCACTGTAGAGATCTCTCCAGAACCTAGTTATTAAAATTTTAGAATTCTGTGAGTGCACAGCCATGAGAGCAGCCATACAACATCATATGCTATTCATAACAAGCAATACAAAATAAATTGTCTAGCATTACCTTTTCAGCAGGATTGAGTGGTGGCAGGAAAATTCCAAATAATAATGGTGGGACTGGTGTCAAAAATGTTGAATGTAAGCCAAGGTGAGAGTGTTATGGAAATTGTTTGCCACGCAGGCAGGGCAATGGGAGGGGATACTGGGGATTTTGGTGGTGGAAAATGTGCACTGGTGAAGGGATGGGTACTTGATCATTGTATGACTGAAACTCAAACATGAAAGCTTTGTAACTGTATCTCACAGTGAAGAAGGAAGGAAGGGAAGGAGGGGAAGGAAGGAAGGGAAGGAGGGAGGGAGGGAGAGAAGGAGAAATGCCCCTGCTGACAGTAGACAATTATCTTGGACTAGATTTAATCAGGCATGGTGTCAGCATCACTTCCTCTTACCCATTGGTGAGTTTGGGATTCCTGCATAGAGCCACTGAGAACATGTGGCCCGTGCAGATGTGTTGACAGCAGCCGATGACCACTGCCCAGGGGAGGATAGCAGTGCCTGTCATACAGGGCCTCCTGAGCCACACAGTCACCATGGGCACTGGCCAGGCGTGGCCCCAAATAGAGAACAATAAAGCAGCCGTGTCTAGAGAGATGGTCCACATGGTGAACAGAGCACATGACTGCCATATGGAGGCCCTGAGTTGGACTCTTCTGTCCTTAGCACCACAGGTACAGCCCTGGTAGCCTCTGAGCCCTACCAGCTCCCCTCCTCACTGCCTGTGGAACCCCTCCCCCCAAAGAAGTATAGAATATTAAAAAGATTTTTAAGATTTTTCTAATAAAGCTGATTTAGTTTATTCTGCACCTTTCCTAGTAGAACTC